TTTTACTTAACATACATATTTTGGTGATCTAAAGTCTATTTTTCTCAAACATATTTTCATGTTTTTCCATGTGTGATCTATATGGTTAGTAACTTTATGTCCATGTGCAAGTAAAGTTATGAATGTTTTAGAATAAAAACATCTACAGAAAAAGAAGAATATTGGCTATTGGATATCCGTTCTCCATGAACACTGTATTGCTACTTCACAATGACAATTTCAAGTCACACTTTATTTCTGAGCTGGAATTAATGCTACAAGCAGAGATTGTTGCTTTAAAATGTCCAGCAAAGAAAGGAGAGGGAACAATCTCATACCAGATGCTTCCCACGTCTAGTGGGAATGCACAAAACGTTTTTATGAGCCAGGTTCCATAAGCACACAGGGTAGGAAAAGTAGAACACTGGGCTCACATGAAAGCAGAAGAATGTTGGTTTAGGGAAGGCTGGAATTGTAGTAGAGCACAGCAAGAGTCAGGGCTCTGCTTCTGTGAAGGAGACCATAAAACGCCTAAATGAGCAACTCCAACTTTCCAAAAATAAGAAAAAGGGGTTTTCAAAATGAGAAATGCTAAAGAGTACCAGAACTTTCTCTTCACTCAAATCGTTAAGCGTGTATGATCTTATGCCCTTACACACCCACCCCTCAGGAAGAGAGATTTCAACATCACTGTTTTTACTGCCGCTACTAACCATTAAGAAAATGAATTGGCTGGGAGCGGTGGCTCAGCCTGTAATTCCACCACTTTGGGAGGCTGAGGCGAGAGAATTGCCTGAGCCCAGGGATTCAACACCAGCCTGGGCAAACTTGGTGAGACCTCGTCTCTACAGTAAATCACAAAAACTAGCTGGGTGCAGTGGTGTATGTCTGTAGTTTCAGCTACTTAGAAGACTGAGACAGAAAGATGCCTAAGCCTAGCAGGTTGAGGCTGTGTTGTCTATGAGCATGTCACTGCACTCCTGGGTGCAAGAATGAGACTCCAAGTCAAAAAAAACAAAAGAAAGAAAATGAAGAGATTATTCACAAGGTCATAAAAACATATAGTACAGAGTGACAGTGATCATGGGAAAATATGTAAGATTTGAGAGAAAATAGTCTTCACAACACGTAATATTTGCTTTTTTACTACCTACTCAATTGTCAAGTATATTGAGTTACTAGATTTTGGAAACAAAAATGCAAAGAGGAAGTTGTGTTTTCACTACAATGTAAGATTCATGAAGGTAGAGATTTTTACCTTGTTTTGTAAACCGCTGTGTCTCCAGCACCTACTACTGTGCTTGGAATATAGTAGGCATTCAATACATTTGTTGAATAAATGCTTGAGTATATCTTATGGAGGGGAAGATGATGTCATGATGTAAATATGAGTTACCTATCTATGGCTCCTTTCTAGTTCAAGTCCCAAATATAGGACTAGTTTGCTTGATGACCTAGAGAAAATGCAATGTTTTCTATAGGGTGTCTGATGGTACTACTCATATGCTTTCCTCTGTCCTGAACATAAGAAATCTCTCTTACTCTCTTCTCTGTCAGGGTTCCCACACTGCTATTAAAACCTAGTTTAGTGATGACTGCCTCATAAAGAGTTTTCATGATTAATCAAATTTGAATTGTTATCCTGCTTTATACTATGTATTCCCTGTGAGTAATAATAACAATTAGCATAATTGAGGCATTAGGATAACTTTATCTGAATTTATTGAGACTTTCCTTCTGTTCTTTCCCTTGGTTATCATTTCTTTTTTCTTTTTTTTTTTTTTGAGTTGGAGTCTCACTCTGTCACCCAGACTGGAGTGCAGTGGCATGCTCATGGCTGCCCCAGCATCGACCTGCTGGACTTCAGCGATCCTTGCGCCTCAGTCTTCCTAGTAGCCGGAACTACAGGTGTGTGCCACCATGACTGGCTCGTTTTCTGATTTATTGTAGAGACAAGGTCTCACCATGTTGAGCTCAGGCAATTCTCTCGCCTTGGCCTCCCAAAGTGCTGGGATTACAGGCTTGAGCCACCATGCTTGATCGGTTATCCTTTCTTAATATAATATCTCACTCTCTATTGTCTCTCCCTTCTAGCCTGGTCTTTCACAGAGTCCAGTATTTATTACTGATATTTTCTAACAACCCTCAGCCCCTGCACCACTGCTAAATGTCTGTTATATGGAAACTTCTCAAGATCTAAGGTGATAAATGACTCATACTATGTAACTCATGAGATAATTGATGGTGGTAGACAGAATAATGATCAAGTAATCATGTGACCTCATTTCTAGAAGAAGATCTGCTATTAACCAGTTTTGTGAATTTGGGCTACTCAATCTTTCTGGGCTGCACTTTTCTCATGTATAAAATGTGAAAGTTTGCCTATAATAGTGTTTCTATAAGTAAGTATGTTCTATAATACTGGTCCTGGATATGTCTTTCAAAACTATGTTCTGGGATCGTGTTCATTTGGGAATTGCTATATATCACTTCTTGAATATTAGAAAGCTAAAGGCTCTGACAAGTCCTGGAATAAAGAAATGTTTTTAAACCTAATAACTGATGTTTTAGAGGTGCAAGGGTAGCATGTTGGTAGTTACCTAGAAATACCTGTGAGGAAGTCATTAGTTGAACTTTCTGGAGAGCTTGGGTGCAATTGCACATCTATTTATCTTCATTGCCAGCTGTTGTGGGTACAGAGATGAATAGGCTGGATCTCTGCCTTTCAGGAATAATAGATAAAACAGGAAAGAGACACAAATAAATGTGATATATGATAGAAATTGTAGACTAAATATTTGTTCAAATCATAATGAGGGTGAGGACTGAGAAACAAGTAAGTCTGCCTAAAGTGGGGCCAATATATGAAGAAGGGAAGCCTCCACAGGGGTGTTGCAATAATCCACCAGGTAGAGAAGGTGGGAAAGGATGTTCCAGGCAGAAGGAACAACATGGCACAACGGCATCAAATCTCAAAGTATGTTCCAGGCCTGTGAAAGAATTCTATGCTTATGGGACCTGGGAATGGAGGCTGCCTAGAGAGAGAAGGGAGGGAGAAAGTCCTGGGAGGTGGGTGGAGTCCTGCTCGCCATGTTCTGTAAGTGCCATTGTAAGGAGTCTGAAATTTATCTTGTTTGTAACAGGAAACCATTCTTAGATTGGTTTTTAATCAGGGGAATTATCTGATCAATAAGTATTTTCAAAGGAGAATTGTAGAGTGCTAAGGCAGAAAGGAGTGGGAAGAGACTGGCAAAGTGACTAATTATGATTCTATTGAGCTAGCTCAGTAAGAAATGGTAACAGGCTGGATAACGACTGTGTAGAGGAAACAATTTGAAGGAAATTTAGGAGCTCCACAGATCATGAGGCAGAGTTGGGTAGGATGCAAAAAAGAAAGAGGAATACAAAATAATCTACAACATTCAGTGTGAGCAAGTGTTGTGTGATTATAACATTAACTGGGATGGGAATCTAGAGGAGTCGACTGTTTCCTATAGGTTTTGAATTGACCTGGGGAGTACTATTACATAGAGCCATTTTCCTGTAAAAACACATCCATTGATTTTTGTGTTTCACAGTTCAAGAATGATCTAACTAAGGACAATACAGTATTTTTTATAAGGAGATTCAGCATCCACCAAAAAAACTATTTCAAATTGAAATTCTGCAGATGCCTAATTCATTCTTATCAACAAAGGAGCATTTAAATCTCGATATTTCTTTTGATTTTGTCTCTAAATGATAAATAATCATTCCTGGGACTATACATTCATTTGATCTTTTATTCTATCTGAACTCTTTCTTCTTTCAGCCATGGATTTTACTGTATGCAGTAACATCTCAATAGAAGTTGGTGAAATTATTTCCATTTTTCTATGAGGAAAGAGCACAGAATATCAACAATTTTAGTGATGATTTAAATATTAAGCCCTTAATTTTGGAACTAATCCTAAATTTGGCCTTTAACATTAAATATTTAACAAAAACACTAAATGTAATTACCAATAATGCATTAAAATACACTGTGTTTATAGTCAGGAGGTGGGGTTATTTCAAAATCATCTTTGTATGCCAGTGAAAATCAGAAAAAAATTTTTTGTAAGAGTCTTTGTTTGTTTATTACATAGAACATAACAAAGATTTTTAAAGAATTATTTTCCCAACAACCTTTTGAAGTAGAGTGTTCCTTCTTTTTCGTTTTCTTTTTAAAATTTTTCTAAGAGGATAGAAGAACTCTTTTTGAAAGGCAGGATATAGAAACTAGCATGACTACACAAAACAGCATATTTACACAAGGCAACTGACACCTCACTGACTAGGTCAGGGGATTTTTCCTTTACCTAGGACTGCTGCCTTCTGTTAGCGTTAGAAACAAATTGTACAGTCTATGACCACTGATTCATGACCAGCTGGCCATTTTGAATTTTTTTTTATCCAAGAGGACCTGGAATTCAGAAACTGAGTGGGGGAAGAGGAGCTGCTGCAAAACATAATTTATTAGAAAAAGGAAAGTACAATGTCTACCTTAAAAACAAACCAAGTTATCAAAATGATTACACGTTATAAAATGAACACAATAGGGGCAGTCAGAGATTGACTCTTGAACATTTTTTTCTTATTTCCTCATAAAGACATAAAGATAAAAACTGAGTAATCTTATCATGATAGGCAAGACTGCCTCTCCCTTTGTACTTCCTGAAACTGTGGTGCATTAATGCAACTCTGGAGTTGTGTTGAAATACTTTTAGAAGCTTTGGAAAACAGGTACAAGTAATGATTGTTTTACTATTTTGGGGTTAATGATAAGAGGTTGTTATGTCTAAGCCTTGAGATTTTGCAGATTTCTAAATGTATTTTTATTGTATTTGGAAGAAATTTTGTATTGTTGAAAAAATGCAATGCAAAAATGAGTGGAGATACAATGCCCCTTTACCTCAGAGCAAAACAACAGTATTTCCCTATTGGCCAAATAGAGGGCAGAGAAGTCAGGCAGTGGTTTCTGAAATCCAACAACCTAGTATCGCTGTGCCATTCTCTCCACTGATCCAGCGCCACTCCCTTCACTTGATATCTGTTTACTTTAGAGGAGACAGATTTTGCAAAAGGATCATAAATATCCTGGCCCAGTGCCCCAGGAGTCATGACAAGCAAAAGAACATACTCTCCTGGAGATAGCCTTTGTGATATTTAAATGTGTGGGTTAATTTTTTATCCACTTTCATAACTTAATTTTTTTTTTTTAGTCTCCTGTACTTCTTTGCTTTCTATTTCTGCTCTGAAGCTGTGGGCACAGAAATCTCTGCAGGCAAGTTACTCCAGAGCATATTGCAGGACAATCCTATAACGAATAGTTAAATTCACGGCATCTGGATTCCTGATCATTTTCCGAAATGGCAGGTGTGAGTGGCTGTATAAAATATTCTATGTTTATCTTCAACTTCTTGTTCTGGGTAAGTGTTTTTCTTTTAATTATCAATTTTATGCAAGAAAGGGGAACGTGATATATATATTGTAAACAAGAACAGACTCTGCATTAGAGAAATAGGAGAAGGAGGAAAATATATTTTCCATGTGCTTGTTTGGAAGTGTTTGTTCTTTCTTTGGTTATTTCAGTAATTGAAAATGAGCCAATGACTCAAAAAAGTGCACTTCAGAATCTATTAAGATAAACATTTTATAAATGTTTTGATATTGTTGCAAAAACAACCACAGAGGGGAAAAATACCCTTTAATTAAAGGACAATTATTCTTAGTTGCATATCAAGTAGTCCTCCCCTGCATAAGGACTCTGTAGGAGAAATGTGGTATGAGTCCATTCAGAGCCCAGTCCCTGATTCCTACCTTTCACATCTGGTTTCCAAACAGGTGAATAGCAGGGTGTGGAACAAAAAAGACATGAAGAGAGGATCACTTTTAGATCCCCAAAGAAAAACAATAGATTATGAAAAATTTTGGGAAAAATAATAAAATTCCTTAATCCTAAAAATATTAAACTAAGCCAGTGATATGTGTTGGCATTTTAAAGTCAGTTTTTTGATGTGTCATTCCTTCACCTTTTAATTGATGGTTTGTTTTTAGCAAGACGTTTTTTTCTCCTAAAAGTTCACTGACATAGACATAACCAACAAATCAATAAGCAGCATCTAGCTTTGGGAAAAAGAAACAAACAAAAAAACAGAAAAACAACAAGGTGTGAAAAGGGAAAGCTGGGATGTTGGGAAATTGACCTTATCATTTTTAGTATATATAGTACTAGCAAAGACTGTTTCAAAGTACATCAGTGGAAATGACCCAAAGTACTTAAGTGAATAAAATATTTTGTGTACTAGATAAAAAATAGCTTATGGTGTACTAGGAGGAAAGAATTCTGGTTTTGTTTTTGTACCTAGTCGCCTTTAGTAAACAGACAGGTGGTATCTATGTGTTGGTGAATTTTTGTACTATGACGCTAATGATGAGTTTAATTGAACTTAACTACGTGAATACAGTTTTATTGTATAGAACAACTTTCCATTCAATGGTCAGTAGCATTAATGAGTAATGATGATAAATTGGTGAATTAAGTAATTAAGAAAATATACAAATAAAAACAATAAAGAAGATTTGTTCTTTGTACTTTCCCTTTTCCCTAGAAATAAATGGGCTGCTTTTGCAAACATTAAATGTAGCTCATGCTTATATGCCAGTTTTTAAAATCAGTCCTGAAACATGTCTTCCCTTGAAACATTTAAGTTGATTAAACATTAAAAGTAGAATATAAAAAAGAAATGCCTGTGTTCTTTGGTTTGGTTTTGTTTCTAGTTTTTAATTTTGGAGAACTTAGAATATTCACAAAAGAAGACAGAATACAGTAATCAACCCTGTTACTCAGGCCCAACGGCCACAAAAATATGGGCAATCTTTCTCCATCCATACTCTATTCACTGCCCCCCATATTGTTTTGAAGCATATCCCAAATAAATACTTTCATCTATAAATATTTTTGTATATATCTTTAGAACATAAGAATTCTTTTAAAAATGTAACCACAATATCATTATCATACTTTAAAAACTTAATATGAATTTCTCGATCAATTTTAAAATATTGATCCAAGGTTCAAATTTCCAATTACCTCATAAATATTCCTATTTGAATCAGGATCCAAATAAAGTCCACATAGTGATCAATTAATACATCTTTTTTTATCCATTTTAATCTGTAGTTTCTCTCTCCAACTTCATCTCTTTTTTCCCCACTGAAATTTTATGTTCTGGTGTGTGGTGTTTGTCATATCACATTTCCCATGGTCTGGAAATGCTATTTGCACCCTTGGCAGAGTTTAATATGCTCCCCCATCTTCTTTATTATCTGTAAGTTAGTAGTTGTCTCTGGAAGCTTGGTGAAATTCAGATTCAGGGTTTTTAGTCTTGTTTTGTTTTGTTGGACAGCTTCTTCCAAAATGATATATTATTCTTTAATCTGAAGGCACATGATATCTGATTGTGTCATCTTTTTGTGATGTTAGTAGCCACTGATGCTCAGTAATGGAGTACCCTACTCCATTATTGTTCAGTAAGAGGTTTGAATTGGTGATATTCTAGTTCTATCAACTTTTAAAGTTTTTAATCCAGAATATTTTCAAGAAGGAGAAATTTTTTCCTTACTATTTGGTTATTATGGTACTTAGTTTTTATTTTTAGAAAGATAACATAAGTATTTCTTTCTTACTCTTTCCATACCAGATTTCAAATGATAAGTTAACTGTCTTGTAATATCCAACTGTGATATTACTGTATTTCTGTAAGTATTACTATAAAATGATAGGTAAACTCCATTACAATTTTAACTTATATTCATGTGTAATTTATTCCATCTTTGACCAAGGAGCTTCTTTTAAATTCACTACTGAGTCCCTCTAACATGATCCTAATAACTTTGATGACCTCTTCCCTATTTGGTATGACAAGATGTTCCAGGCTTACCTGCCTATTTCCTGCCCAGACCTGGAATCAGCTATTTCTCCAAGAAGTCTTGATAGCTGTCTTTAAAGAACTGCAGCCATTGTCTTCTTTATATGATACAGAATATATATGCCCCATTTAAAAAAACCAAATGTTAACATGCTAATAAATATATGCCTCCTATTTTATTAAGATATCCTCAAATGCTCAAACCAGTAGCAATCTTCAAATGATGAAACAGTTAAAAAATATCTTTGTTGTATAAGAACACAATGGAAAGTGCTAATAGTTATTGTGAATACATCAGAGGTCAGTATTTCATTAACTAGCCTCTCGGGAATTTGGAATACACCCAAATTTCAAACCAAAATGATAAAGACAGTCGAGAAGTGGGTAGGTTATAGATTCAGCATTAGATACATACAATTAGGGTTCAGGGTGGGTTGTAGAGATTGACATTGCTTTTCTGGGAAGCTCTGATTGTTTTATAGTTTCCATTATCTGTTTGTTTCTTTGATAACACAAAATCTTTTTTATGCTGTAGATTTCAGTTAGATATTTTTGACTTCCCTTACTGATCCTCCCACTAGCATATGTGGTGGAATTTACAATTTCTACTTAGATCTTGAAACGGTGTCTTTCAGTGAGAGCAACAGTTGCAAAGACCGGTGAGAACTTCTTAGCCAACAGGTAACATCAATATTTTGAACTCAAACTTAGGCAGCAGGCCGAGTCTCTGAAGTTAGGGAATGTTCCTACTTCTACATTTCTACCCCCACCCCAGAGCTCTCAGTTGGAATTTTACGACCCTTCATAGGAAATTAGCAATTTGTCACATTCCTAATGTTTACTTAAGCAAAAGTTTTAACGATCCCACTGATGTGGTTTTCTTATAGATGTCCATCGCCTTATGTTTTCAAATGCATTCTTTCTGGTGTAACTTGCAAAACTAAGCCTTTAAAGTAGGGCCAGATGTTGAAATATCTCTAAGATATGCATATAGCCATTTAATCTAAACATACTAGTTTCTTTTTGGGGAAAACTTGAGATATGCCACATAAGTATGCAGTGATTTCCATTTGTTAGCATGACTAATTGAAGAAAAACATGTGAAAATAAAAATCATTTTTAATCACTCATGCTAGAGTTTGATACAAGTTAGAAATTAGAGGTGCTGTAGATAATAAATCATAGGTACAAAACCGATTTCTCTGAATCTTATGTCAAAAGAAGATGAAATATCCAAATTTTCTTATGCTCCTCTCAGATAGGTCAGGCCTGGGAATGTTGTAGATGCTTAGGGTTTCTTAGGGTCTGTGTAAGCATGTAACATGGGACCAGGGGCTGGTGGATGCAGAGAATAATAAAAAGAGACAGAGCTATTAGAGAGGCCAGCTCTTGATAAGAGAAAGCAGAGTGAGATACGTTACCAATCCAAAATGAGGAGAGGTGAGAAGAAGGAGCCAAGTTGTAAAGTCAAAATTGTTTGTAAGTGACGGAAGTCAATGCTTGAAGAGTTTTGAGGAAAGAAGGAAGTCAAGACTTGGAGAGAGTTCAGGAACCAGCGTTTCAGTGTTCTTAGTGTATTTTATGTGGTGCCTGGGCCTTGAGATTAGTTGTGCTGAGAGCAATTAAAAGACTGGAGGCAAAGCAGATATAACTGAGATAGGAGTACACTTAAAATAACAGAACGCAATTATATTTTATTGTGTCAGTTGATGAGGTCCTTCAAGATAAAGACTTAACAAGGGCTGAAATGTATGAACTTTGTAAACACAGTGGTTGCCTGCCACTATGTAATCAGCTTGGAACTATGATCATGACAAAAGCTTAGAGCCCAGCAGTTAAGAGCTCAAGCTGAACATCAGCTCCCTCTTCACTATCTGTGCTTCCCTGGGGCAAATTAGCTAACCTTTCTGTGCTTTATTAGTCTTCATCTGTAAAAATGAGGATAGTAGTGGTATCTACCTCTTAGATTTGTTTTGATGATTACATAAGTCAATACCTGTAAAGACCTCAGAATCACTAAAAAATGTTTAAGAAAAATATATTTCAACCAACATTGCATACGCATTTTTATGAGACAGAAATACAAAAGTACTTTGCATAGTGATAAAATACGTTTCAGTGTTGAATTTTAAAACATTAGAGTGAATAAGATGGCAAGAATTATGGTAAGGCAGAAATGTTTCTGTCATAAATTAAGGAAATGAGGGAAAAGATAATTTTGTAAACAGACTGAGAGTCAAATGTTGAATTCATCCTTTATTGCTTTGTGACCTAGAATATGTTCCTTTACTTTTCTGTGCTCCAGTCTGCATTTGTAAAGTGAAACTGATAATTTTAGCTGGCAGGATTAATTGTAAAGATTAACTAAGATACTGTATGAAAGCCTAGAACCAAGGACTGACACACAATAATAGTTCAATTAATGAATTTTTCTTGATTCCAATTATCATATTGCCTTACTAGAATCTGTTGTGATAGTATTTTATACATAAAGGACT